TTCCCAGCCCCACTCGAACTGTTGCGGCTGTTGATGAATTCTTAATCTGTTCTGTATTTGTCTCTCTTTTCGTTTTCTGTCCTTCCCCTTTTCCCTATTTAGTTCGTTAGCCGCCCTGAGTCCCCTCGGGAAATAGGGCAGCATACAAGTTCAATAAAACTAAACTAAACTAAACTATATAATGAAACAAAGGCCTTGGATTCCTTTTAACTCCATAATAGCTACCACTGGATATGTCATTGTTACTTGCAAATACAATTGAAAGGATGAGAATAAGACCAAGTGTACAGATCAATGTCACAATTATTATGCAGTTGTTGGAAATATTTTCTTGAAAGTATTCTTTTACAACATGTTGGCACTCGTAATCATTCCACACATGTAATCATTCCACACATGTAATCATTCCACACATGTATTTTCTAGATTAAATTGTTACCATCAAGCTTGAGAAAATGCTTGAAAACAATTTATCAACATCTGTATTTCTGGCTTTAAGAAAAATAATACAACTGAAGACATTACTCTCCAGTGTCTCAGTGATAAATAAATGTAGCTGAACAGGATGCAAATTTTCCTTTCTCCTACTGAAACTCATCTAAAAAAACAGAGCGAGGGAGAGAGATTAGAAAGGGAAATGCTAAGGAAGTCAGTTAATAAAATCAATGACTAGTGATTACTTTTACATATCCAGCTAACTTCAAAATTGAGAGTAAAAGGCAAAGGGGTTCTTGCACCATGAGTCCCATAAATATACAACATTTGACATAAAAAATAGGAAATATGAATATGTAGTTTATTTTGTCTAGAACACTTGACTCAGTTTCTGTATGTGGAACATACATAACTTAGTCTTAAATCAACTGAAGAAATGGGTAAATCACCTACCTCATCCTTTCATGTAGATTTTAACTAAAAAGATGATAGAAAATGGCACAGCATTGAAAAAAATGCCATCCTGATTCTAGAGACCAAGTTTTTAGCAAGCAGAAAAGACCACAGTTTTCCAGATAAGTTAAAATTCTGCATTTCCTTCCCTGTCTGGGAAAGCAGCGGTAATTCTCTTATTGGTTTTGGAAAGCTAAGAATAAATGAGATTATCATTCTGCTTCAAGCAGAGAGTCATGAGATGGCTACTTAAAATTTCATTCTTTGTATAAGCAATCCTTCTCAAAGGAATAATTTACAAATTATGCTTTCCAAAAGGCCCCATCGCACCTATTTTATTTCGTGAGGGGGGGGAAAAACCCTCATGAAATAAAAAATACATTGGCAGGTATTACCATTAAAAGGTGTGTATTTAAATTGTCACAGAAGTGTTCCACAACTAAGGATGTTATGAGAAGCAATAGATGAAAATTAGAAAAGTTTAAAAAAGACTTTTCATCAGAGATATAAATTTTTAGTGTGCAGATAGAGCGTGACTGGATATTATCTTCAACACTTAGGAAGGTTTTTCTTATCACAGTTTTTATAGCCTGATACCTACCCAATTTATGCAGCCATTATGACCACTTCATGCTGCTCTGGGATATCAAAGTTGATAAAAAAACGAAGAAGAGTATCAGTTTGGAGAAGGCTCATCTAGAAAGAGTTGCCAGTTTGTTTTATTCACCTTGCCATGATCAAGGTTCACTTGATAAAAAATAGTATCTGAAACCCATTTTCAGATACATAGAATTGAAATTCCCATTTCAACTACATGCAAATACAAGTCGGACTGAATTAATACTTCAATAAAAACACATTATACTGCAATTAGAGCTATATGAAACTGTAACCATATTTAGAGGAAGAATTGAAGAAAGCATTTGTTGCCTTATCTATGGAAATTCTCAAACATCAAGATCATGATTGTTCAAAAGGTGCTTTTTCAAAAGGCAACTGGACTTTCTTGATTTTTAAAAAATGTTTCACTTCTCGTCCAAGAAGCTTCTTCAGTTCTGAAGAACGACTTCAGGACTGAAGGACACTCATTGCCTTGCACCATTTTGCTTCCCTTTATAGTCAACTTCAGGAGCTTCTCTAAGCTTATTGCAACTTAGAATAAGAGGAGCCTACTATGGTGAATGCTGCAGGAGCATTCATTAGAGTGAGTGATTCTGGTATCGATTGTGGGAAATCTTACAACATGTGCCAGAGATGGTCAATCTGAGGCTCCCTTGAGTCCATCAAGGAATTTTCTAGACTGGGCACATCTGTACAGGCTGTACAACTGCTGTAATGAGCACCAGAGATGACCATTCCCAAGCCCCTTAGAAAAGTACCAAGGGGACTTTGGACCACACCCTTTTCAATACATGTGACAATGCTAGGAGTTGTACTATTTAAGAGCCCTATCTTGCTCTAATGCAGAAATTCTATAAATAAACGGAAAATAGAAAAATGCACTTAGTAGTGACTCACAAAAAGCATTTAAATGTTAGAAAATGAAATCATGTAATAATGAGAAAGTTGGCTAAGATTAAAAGAAGCTGCCATAAGAACACTTAATAGCACCCTGGATAGATACCAAAATATTAAAAGGAGAACTTGATTCAGTGTTTCATATGAAAAGAATACTATAGAGTATAATCCGTGCTGAATCTTATGACAGGATCATGTAATATCAACATTCTGGACATGTTAGTGTGTTCATTTATTCCCGACATTATCCTTTCTCATTACTTAAAAGTCAAAGTATTTTTTTAGCGGCATATTGGCTGAGAATGTGCTGAAAAGCTATTAAATGAGAGGTAAAGCAGCCAGTTTTCTTTCCTCAACTTTTAAAAATGCATCTTCTTAAAGCCAGGCTCTGGGCTACATTTCCTCTTTAATATCAGAGCATTTATGCATAAACAGTATCTCTTATTTATAGTAATAGCACAGAAATGTAAATCCTCACATATCAGTAGAAT